GATGCTTGCTTTTGAGTTTTTTTTCTTTTTTTAAATTATAGCTTCAGGGGGTGCACGTCCAGGTGTGTTGCCTGGGTGTATTACATGATGCTGGAGTTTGGACTTTTCCTGGAGCAACACTTTCATATTGAGCAATTTGGAGCATAAAGTCCTAATCCACCCAACTCTGTTATCAAGCAAGTCTGTTAAGTTCTCAGGGTTTCTGTTTCCTTTGGATCAACAGAGGAGTTCATAAGATGCATGAGCTTCATTTTGGCTAAAATTCTTTGGATTCAATGACTCCATTAAGAATATCTGAAATCACTATGCACAAACTTGTGGGCAGCCACTTATTTTTCAAGAATGCAAAACCATCTCAGCCATAGACTCCTAACTTAGCTACATAAATAAGGGGCTCCCTGCGAGAGCTTACTTACATTCCGATATCATAAAAAGAGGAAAAGTAATCTATAAAAAGAAAAGTGATTCTTACATGTAAGAAGTGTTAAATAAGGCTGAATATTTCTGTTCTATCTATATACAGAGAGTCTTTGAGATGGAGCCTCACTCTGTTGCCCAGGCTCTAGTGCAGTGGTGCATTCCCAGCACTGCAACCTCTGCCTGCTGGCTCAAGCAATCCTCCACCCTCAGCCTCCCAAGTAGCTGGAATTACAAGTGGGTGCCACCATGTCAAGTTAATTTTTGTATTTTTTGTAGAGACAGAGTGTCCCTGTGTTGCTCAGGCTGGTCTCAAGTGATCCACCTGTCTCAGCCTCCTAAAGTGCTGGGATTACAGGTGTGAGCCACCTTGCCCAACCCTGTTTAATATATTTTTTAAGCCATCTTATTAAGTAGTATTTGTTAAAATAATCCATAATAATGAGTGGATGGTTGCTTGGGATGGAGTAGAGGTCAAGTAAGGGGAAAAAAATATGGGAGTATGGAGTGTCAAGTCCTGGTAATTAGAGCCTAAGAAGCTTTTTGGCACTTTACACACACACACACACACACACACACACACACACACACACACAGGCTTTTCATCCTTCCAATTGAATTAGAATTTTAAAAAAAATTTTGCTAAGCCTTTCTATGCAAACAATATTTTGCTCTTTGCCTGGAGTAGAAGAAATCAAGAAAAGTGAGAAAAGATACCTGGCATAAAAGGACCTCTTTTGTGGTTAAGCATGGTGATATTATGGCCGTGATCTTGAAGAATCTGAGAAACCCGGTCCATCAGTAGATAATGGCTTCCACCTAGGAACAATGCACAATTTCAGTTCTGGAATGATGAGAACACCGTGTCTAAAGTCGATAGTGATCAATCCAGGAGAGGAAAGGTAGGGGAACAGGAAGTGGATAGTGAGTGGAGGAAGATGAGTTTTGCCAGTCTCCTCATGTCCCTCTGGGTAAAACCCAGCCCACTCACCCAGAGCACGACCACCCAAATTTTTACCTGTGGCTCTGGTCCGTGAGAGATTGCCTCTTGTGAATCACAGTATCCATGTCAGTGTAATGAGTTACTATGTGCTTAGGCCATGGGAGTTCCTCATCCTGAGGTACATGTACATTTTAACTAAGGCCTTATGGAAACACAGAGTCCAAAAGAAATCACAGCATTGGTGGAAATACAGGTATGGTGTTGTACATATGAGTGTGAATAGTTCCTAAAAAACAATGAGAACTGTTTCTGGGATCCTGCTCTTTGGACATTTATGCTGCTGTAGGAGATAGAAACCTTAAGAGATCTGTCCAAGAAATCATCACTGGAAGGGAAGAAATGAGGGACCACTACTTAGAATCCAAATCTTTAAGATTCTAATGTATTTGGAAAGGATGTATTTAATTTAGGCCAAACAATGATCAAGTTCTAATTAAGACATTTGAGGACAAATGTGGGGCCCTTGGGGTGGGCCTGCTGGATCCTGGTTGCACGACAGACTAGGGAATCCCTGATTCCAGAAAAATCCTACCATCCTAAGGAAAGAGAAGCTTGATCCTCAAAAGAGGTACAAGTTCCATGAAATCAATGTCTTCTCAGTATATGTTCTAGTACATAGCCTTTGCTTGAATGTAAGGTTCTCAGCAGCAGAGAAAGGAAGATCAGAAGAGAAGGTAATGTAATGGTAAATACCAAAAGATTGGGGGTGGAGGTGGAAGGGAGTAGAGAAGTAGTGTGCAGCTCTCTGCATGACTCAGTTTACTTATACCCAGCTTGAATAGTCTAGAGCAACAAGCGATGTATAAAGTACAAATCTGCAACAGATCTTGCTCACATTTTAATCCATGTAAGAACAGGGAGCCAGGAAGAAGGGGTCCCCACAGAAACAGCTGTTAGTGGTGGATCCTGGGGAGTCAGGTGGCTTTCTGGGGCAAAAATCGGGATTCCAGCACCTCAGAAACGATACCAACTCCTTCTTGGAGCCTGAGGATGGAGGACGGTGTACTTTCAAGAAGTTAAGAAGCTCTGTTGCTTCACTGAGACTAACACTCAGAAAGGAGGTGGGGGGAGTCTTCAAATGGACTTGCACTGTTTCTTAAACAGTGATTTTTGAAAATCCCCAGTGAAAAGGGCTTCAGAGTGGAAGTTGTTGTGAGCGTGGTCTTGCAGTAAGAAAACCCTGAGTTAATTCCTCATGGGACATCAGGGAGGCCACATGTGCTCTTAAGGAAGGCATCTCACTCCCCATCCCTCAGTTGCCCTCTCAGGAAATCAAAATGGGCACTAAATTAGATGATCTGTGGTTCCTCCCAGTTCTAGGAGCCCTGATTCTAAGTAATAAAAGGAATCCATTAGAACCCACTATGGGTTGAAATAAAATCTTGGGGAAGCTCGATCCTGGGATGATCCCTTTATGTTCATATATGCTTCTCTTTTATATCCTATTCCCTTTGGGGTAAAAGTAAAAGAAGTAAAACTGAGACCCAAAATGCTGAATTAACAGTTTCACGAATCCCTCAAAAACGGTCAGCGGCACAGGTAAAAGGAAGGAGACTCCAAAAGATCCGAATGACCTGGGTCCTCTCCTCAGCCCTGGGCAGTTCTCCAGGTCTTCCCTGGAGGAAAACACTCCACTGGCCTTGCAGCCATGAAATACCTGCCTGCGCCACCCTGGCTCCGGACGCAGCTTCACAACATTTACAGTGCTGCCCTCAGGAGCGCCTTTTCCTGGTCTCCAAGAGCTGAAAACGCTCACCACCGTTTCTGCTGGAAGCTACTGTGCACCCACACACACGCACCCTCTGGAGCTTAGGATGAGCCTCTGAAAGTCCCACTGCGCTCTGGAGAAGGCAGCCCAGGGTCTCAAACTCCGGGATGAGTCTCAAATTTCTGGCCCCAGCCCTGCGGGATGGGGAGCGCTTCCTGAAGAAGAGGGAGAAACGGAGAGTCTCTTTTCTCCAAAACTATCTTCCCCACCTCAGCAACAGAGGCCCCTCTCTGCCCCACAGCTGGATGGGCTTCCCCCTCCTCCAGCCGGGTCCGCAAGCCCAGCCTGGAAAATTGCCTGGATGACTCTGATCAAGCGCCGTTCGCTGGAGCCCTGGCAGTGCGGGTATCCGGGACGCGCCTGTCTGGGAATTCTCCGACCAAGCACTCACCTACTGTAGATACTGTCAGGATTTTGGCAGCCTCTGAGAGCAGGACCCCAGGGAGAAGGAAGCCCACTAGAAGCAGCACCCGCTGCCCAGCCATGCTCACTTCTACGGAAGCCGCGGATCTCAGCCTGGGCTGCGCGCCCTGCGCCGGGCTAAGGGACCCTGTGCACCTCAGTGCGCCAAAGGCACTGGGTGTGGGAAGAGGTAGAAGTGAGGATCCTGCCGGTCTTCTCTTCTGTGCATCCCCTCTTGCCGTCTGCCCCTCCTCCCTCGTGCTCCATTGGGTAATCTATCCTTGCTCTACCGAACTACCAGCAGTCAGTAGGAGGGGTTGGTGAGTCCACCCTTAACCCTGCTCTGTCCGTGTGATCACAGCCCTCCTGCCTGGAAAATCCTTACTGTGAGCCAGGAATGGCAGGGACCTCAGTAAATCGCGCTGATGAACGCTCTATCTCCATGGGACCCATCTCTCTTTTGCCAAGGCTGTGTGAATTTACCTACTTTAGTTCCCTTCTGACTGCCTCTACTACCTCATACTGCCAGCCCCGTGGTCTGTTTCCTGAGAGACTTACTTAAAATCTTGAGCTGATGTTCCAAGCCCAAGACCTCCCTGGAAGGGGATCCTCAAGGGAAATCAATCTACCATCCCTGGAGTCTACCTCTTAATGTCTCTTTAGAAGGTAAGAGAGGCTAGAGTCCTACCTCTGGAAGTCCAGGTCTGTCCCTGGAGGACTGAAATTCAAAAGCTGACACTATCATTCCGAATGAATATCCTGAAATAGGACTGGTGAATCTTTCCGTAATTTCCAAGAGCACACGCTGAAGACAGGTTGTAATTCTGCCTCCGTGCAATGTCAGCCCCAGTGAGGGCAGGGATCACTAGGTCCGGTAGCCCCCTTTACACTCTCTATCCTCAAACTCTAAGACTTCCTTTAGGAAAGGCTTTCAGTGCACCTCTAAACAAGCAGAGGAATCCTTGGCTGCAGTGGATCCTTGAATTCTGCTTGTACTGTTCCTGCCTTCTTCAGTCTATAGGTGTTATTTTTTCTCATTGGAATTTAAAGCATTATATGCCTATGCATTTGTGCATCCCTCACCTAGCCATACCTACTGTGGAGGAAGAGAGAAGAGAGGAGGGAGAGAGAGAAGTGTGGGAAGGGCCAGGTTTACCAGACATCACAAGGCTCCAGTTCGTCTTATTCTTGTACTTTTCATAATGCATTAGCAAAATAAAGGATTTGTTATCAAACTCCAAGATTTTTATTTATTCAACAATTATATTGATAGCATTTATTTATTTATTTATTTATTTATTTATTTATTTATTTATTTATTTTGAGACACAGTCTCACTTGTCACCCAGGCTAGAGTCCAGTGGTGCAATCTCAGCTTACTGCAACCTCTGCCTCTCAAGTTCAAGCAATTCTCCTGTCTCAGCCTCCTGAGTAGCTGGGATTACAGGCGCCTACCACCACACTCGGCTGATTTTTGTATTTTTTAGTAGAGACGGGGTTTCACCATGTTGGCCAGGCTGGTCTTGAACTCCTGACCTCACAAGATCCACCCGCCTTGGCCTCCCAAAGTGCTGGGATTACAGACATGAGCCACCATGCCTGGATGATAGCTGTTTATTATGCCAGGCATTGTTCTGCCAGGCAAACTGATACTAAACACACTAAGAAATAAAATATATAGTACATTAATGGCAAATGCTACTAAGAAAAATCAAATGGAAAGAGATATGAAGAGTCAGGTATCAGATTCGTTAACGTTTTAAATAGCATGATTCCAATGGACTCTAAAATATTATAGGAGTATCAGGATTATTTGAACCCAAATTTTGATTGTATTAAGTAGTTATTGTTGCTTTGGAGAAGAGTTCTATGTAATTGTGGTTATAAACATCTTATGAAGAAATTCTGGCCAGGTGCAGTGGTTCACGCCTGTAACCCCAGCACTTTGGTAGGCGAGGCAGGCAGAACATGAGGTCAGGAGTTCAAGGACAGCCTGGCCAACACAGTGAAACCCCGTCTCTACTAAAACTGCAAAAATTAGCCCGGCGTGGTGGTGCATGCCTGTGGCCCCAGCTACCCGGGAGGCTGAGGTGGGATAATTGCTTGAACCCGGGAGTTGGAGGTTGCAGTGAGCCAAGATCGCACCACTGCACTCCAGCTCAGGAAACAGAGTGAGACTTTGTCAAAAAAGAAGGAAGGGAGGGAAGGAAAGGAAGGGAGGGAAGGAAAAGAAGGGAAGGAAGGGAAAGAAGGGAAGGAAGGAAAGAAGGAAGGAAGGAAGGAAGGAAAGAAGGAAGGAAGGAAGGAAAGAAGGAAGGAAGGAAGGAAGGAAGGAAGGAAGGAAGGAAGGAAGGAAGGAAGGAAGGAAGGAAG